CACGGGAGCTATAGACGTCTCATTTGACAGTCTGGCTGCTATATGTTTGCATTTCCTTTCCAGGCTATCATATGATGCAGACGACGTATCTGGACCTGAACAGAAAGAAGAGAAGTCTACTGGCCTTTCACACCTTGTATGTTGCCTAGCACCAAGTAACTGAAGATCCAAACTCTTGTACCTCTTGTGTATTTGAGTGGGGAGACAACTGAAGCACGGCGGAGGAGGAGACAAAGTTAGTTAGCGTCAGGTAAAGGCCTGTTTTATGGGCGTATTTAGCCCCGTCAGAAATAACACAGCGCTCATAAATGCATGTGCAAGCAATGCTAGGGAAATATACCGGCCATAAATAGGTTCAAATAGGACATTTAGATAGTACATGTGGATTTCAAATCAGATGGTAAGTTATAGAAATGCACCATAAGTGCGCATTTTAGAGAACGGGCACTGCGTGAGATGTATTAGATCTCTGCTCTGATGTTTGTAATATTCCGTGATTAAGATTAGTACACCGTCACATAAAATCCAGACAGCTGCCAGGAACCAAGGTCACACATTGAAAGGGACATGTACAATATCATTTAGGGGACAGTTAACACCATTGTGTTGAAGTATTTGTTTTCCCAGCGCAAGCTCACATGGCTCTTTGGCATCCCTGAAAGTCAAAGGTCAAAGGTTACAGAACAAGTGCTGAAGCCACAGCGCATTCAGCCTGCAAACAGCCGCCCCTGCATTTCAGAGGGCCCTCTGCTCACTTCGGCTGCCAAGAAGACGGCGTCCTGATGTAATGCGTGTGTCCGGGGGTGTCAGAGCTCATCATGTTGCCCAGTCGCCGGGGACCGTCTCTTAGCTTGGCCGACTCTCATTGGCTACACCTCTGAACTCTTAAAAGTAAAGTAGCATCTGAGTTCCCTTGTGACAGCTGATAAACATCAAAACGTCTCTCCATAACAAATATTGTATTATATTTTTGTTCAATTATTTATACAAATACATTACAATACAAAGCAATTTCTGGCCTTTAATGTAGTAGCACACTAGATCCATTTGACATCCATGCACAGAACAGTATGACAACTATAGAACATTGACGAGGATTATGACTGAGGAAGTCATAGCTTTGATGAAAATGAATGTGCTGCTTTCTGAAAGGTGCGCTGCCTTGGGCGGGTCGCAAGAAACAGTGGGTGGATTACATGAAGCCTTGGGGTGGATCGCTGGAAGCTGTGGGTGGATAATGCAAATCTTTGGGTGGACCAGGAGAAGCCAAGACCGATGTGCTTAAAGAGAACTGGAATACAGCTGCTTTCACTGTTCAGTGCTGATGTCACAGCGAAACCCTGAAAGAACGCTAAACAAACCCTTAGAACCAAGGCTGTGGATACAGTTGGAAAAAAATGAAGGGTGGAGTTCAACCTTTGCCTGCCTGCGATTAAGAAGATGATGATTGCTGGTCACTTCCCTTATAAGTTTACTGGCTGCAGAAAAATTCTGACTAGATTCTCTCTTTAATGGCTGCTGCATGGCCCACTAAATTTGGGAGGTTAACATAAGGACAACGTAGGGAGAGAAACACCCATAAACAAGGAAGGTTAAAATCACAAGTTACAAGTGTCACTGAGTCCATTCTGCCCCACAGAGCTTTTATCCACTCTTCCTCCACTTAGCCTGGACAGGCTATGAGAGGGATGGGAAGCCTAGATAGGGGCAGAACCCGGATAGGGTGTCAGTCCATAACAAGGCACACACACAATCTGCAAGTTAGAGATGCTGATTAGCCTAGCGGCATTCTTTTGGAATACAGGGAGAAAATAGAAACTGGTCAATTTCAGAGCTGAACTGGCATTCAAATCCCCAACCCTGGAGACATGACGCAACAGTGCTACTCATCTACCCACTGTGGCACCCACAACGCATTCATAACACAGAATGAACATCGGTTTGAAATTGTGGAAATGCAAAGCTGAATATCCAGAAAGTGAAAACACATTATCTAACTAGCTATTCTGGTCAAATATTTCTAGTTAAAATGAAGCAATTTGCATGGTTAAGATGACATCAGACCATATAAACTGAAAAATGTTGCTTTTACAGGTTTGTCAAAACAAATAGCACCAACAGTGTCACATACATAATAATGGATACTCATTCAGAACCGCAATGGCATCGTGTTACGTCACTTGAAATACTCCTATTGGAATGGGTTTACAATGACAGCTTGCTTCCCCCACCCCCATCCCTTCAACATGAGGCCCAGCTTCTGGGTTTGTGTAATATTCTGATTGGTTCAAAAAGCTAGTGGGCGGGGAAAGGGCGTTACTACATAGTATTGTGATATCACAATCAGCTGTTTGGTACGTTCTAAATTCTGATCCAAGGATCAGCTGGTTGGCAGCAATAACAGCACAAAAATCTGCAGGAAAACACAACTGTCAAACTGCATATTTGGTATCATAAATTCAGTGAAAATGCAGTTTTACGTATAACCCTTCTTCTAAGAAGAAAGCCTTTTTAAATTTTACGAAATACCTACCTCATCGAGCAACTATCTAAAGCTGTGCTTTACGATTTTTTTGTTTATTTTTTAACGTTTTAGGCATCACGTTTACACCGTTGAATAACGTTGCGAAGGCAGGTAAGACAATAATCAAGTCTATACCCGAATGACTGAATAACAGCGTTGGTGACATAAGTAACATTCGTGCCGGAGATTTTTCACCTTGTTATTTACGTTGACTAGGAAAATGCAAATATAGCTGCGCGAGTATCTCACTTACTCCAGTATACAAAATAGGAAAAAATGATCTCAGTATTTTGTAGTACTGTACTGTATAGGGTTTGATGCGATGTATATACAATTACGTATTCTTGCACACAATACTAAAAACAAACATCTTGGTTCTTTTCTCTGTGATGAATGACTTCTACTCAAAATAGTGCAGATGTAAAATTCGCGATGTGAGACTGCGTTTTATGTACAGATATATTAAAGCGAACTGAAGCGTTAAATCCCCGGCACTACGAGGGAAACGTTTCTTGTGTCCATTTATGTTATGGATAAATAAGACTTGGCAATGTAATATATGGAGAAACGACAGTGGTGATATATTGTATTATGCGCTTTTTGCACGAAATTTGAATTTTATTCTTACTTTAGCAAGATTTTTTTTTCGGAAATGAATAATTTAGTCCCCACTTAAATTACTGTACCACTGAGCCTATCTGTCATTGCACTGACCCCGTCGCTCTCCCCCTCCACCAAAGGAGCGTTGAGTTTCCGAAGGATAGATAATTCAGTTTCAGCTTTTGCAGTCGACGAGTGCTTTCTTTTGAATCACTGTAAGCTAAATGGATGTAAGATGGAAAAATAAGCACCTGGTTTCTTTTCCGTTTCAACTGTAAACACTGGATTGAAACGATACGCTTATATGCTATTTTTTATATGTATATCTGCTAGGCGGAAACAGTTGTTCAAAAAGGCTTTCTAGACAACTGTGTTATATTCTGCTTTTGATTTCTGTGCTTTGCTGTATAGTTACATTATATTTATTTTTCTTATTCTTCCTAAACGTATATTTCTTTATTTTCTGACTGTAGTGGGTTGGGCTATAGCAGCCTTGGTGACGTATGTGTTGTCGTCACCAATGCGAATTCGGTCTTTATTTTTGTGTGAAGTGGCCCCTCCTGCGGCCTGCTTAGAAGCCCCGCCCATTTTGACGTTCCCAAGAAGTGACGCGGTCTTTGGATACCGAGATACGGAAGTTTTCCAGTTTCAAATATGGAGTCGTATTTTTAAGTTTATTGACATCATTATTTAAATCAGGTTCGGTTGTAGGACGCGTCAAAAGGAAATTTCCGTCGTCCATGTTAACCTTTTTCTTGTCCCTGCGATATTACCGCTGCTCTGGTATATAATCACTACTATTGCAATAATTTAAGAGGAAAATACGTGAAATTAAGAATGTTAATGAATCTGTTAATGCAATACAATGAACATGGTGAATTGCGTAAATTAGTGCACTACATTTATTAAACTATTAACCATAAAAAAATTCCGTGGCAGCCTACTTGTTACATAGTAGTACAATAATTGTATTTTAAGAATGCCCATGTTAAGGAGATATTAATTGGATTACAGATTAAATCTGAGGTCTCTTTTAAATGTACCATAATGTATTCAACATTTAATAAGATTCACTAGCCTGTAATATACTGGCATGCAAAAGAAGATCAAGAACTCCTTTGATGTGAGTCTGATTGCGCCGACTTCATAATTAAAGGGAGGTCCGCATACATTCAAAGGGAGACTTGTTAAAGGGGAAGCTAATAGTTTATTTAAAGGAAAACATAACCATGTTTGTTATAAATTCTTCAACAATGATAATGTTGAATTAACAGAAGGTATGTTGCCTTTAGTACTTCTGTTGTAGTAGTGTAAGATGAGGTGTAAAATTGCAAACTGTGCATTAAAGAAGTAATAGAGGCTAGATACACCCCTCCCCCACTGCCTGCCTGAAGTGGTATCGTCTCAGAGTTCACTGTATAGTTGGCTTCAAAGCATCCAAAGGGACTGGATGTTCTGCTCTACACTCAAGGTACCAGCATGGGCACTTCCAGGGACAAAGACCCTGCAAAGAATAATTAGTGCTTGTTTTTAAGTTGTTAAACTGTTCTGCCACATACTGCTGGGAAGTAAAAACTGACCCACTTTGACCCCACTAATTTGCAACTTCCTTGTGATCCTATGCAGAAAAGGATTCAAAGTAGTTTTTTTTCTCTTTGTAGTATACTATACTGATTTCTGACTGATTTATGTGTGTGAATAGAGTGTGATATACCCTACAGGAATATTAGTGTAACAAAATTGCACATAGTTGAGTCTTGATAGTGATGAGGATCCAGAAAGGAAATGTTTTTTTTTATATAAAGAATTACCCATCTTTAGTGACATTGTATGGGGAAAATCACTTTATTTACTCAAGGCTCAGTTATTCCTTAGAGTCTGGATTCAGTCAGATGAGGTGTGTCTGCTGCCATATGTCTAGTAACTTACTAAAGGCTGTACTATTACCTTTCCAATTAGGTCACTTACTGCCAATACCAGAAGAGAGTTTACACTTAAGCCTCTGAGGCTGCCTGTGATTGGAAGATGGGGTGTTCCGAGATTTGCATAGGAGTTTGCCAGGATTATTTTTCATTTGACAGCAGGCTTCTCAGACCTGAACAGACAGGACTTGACTATCATTGAGCTTAAGTGGGGCCTGTATTTAACTACCTCTCCTGGGACATTCATACCAGATACACAATGTCCCTGGAGTGTGAGGTGGGAGGGCACAGCAGGATTCACATGACCTGCTCTGTCCCTTAGCACGTTCAGTTACCACACATAGTCATGGATATATATAAAGTCTGCTGCTTACTCTCGCCAGATAGCCTCAAACTGTGGAGAGAACATTTGCTCCTACAGTTTGAGGCTATTTGTGAAGAAGCCAGAGATCAGTATTCATTAAAGTGCCAGATTTCTTCTTCTGCTGTCAATGGCAAGCTGAGAAATGATCAAGTGTAACTTGTAGAGACTTGTATGTTCAATGATACCTATAAGGAATCCACATTTGTTACGACTGGCTTGAGTGTTGGGCTGAGGATTCTGCAGAATGACAGGGTCACCCTTCCGGACTCTGAGAGAAGGCCGTGTTTATCTGAGAAGTCTCCTGTCCGCTATCGTGGCTTTATTGTATTAACTTTGGAGCACAAAGACTAGCGCTGTTTGTGTCAGATTAGAACTCATGGCTTCGGTTTTACATATAACCCTTCTTCTAAGGGTTCTTTCATGCTTTAATGAAAGTTATAACCTAGAGTTTTTAAATGGGACACATTTTAAAGCAGGCATTCGTTTGTCTATGACACGCCCAAACAGCTGCTAGCCAAACACCAAGAAAAACGTTTTCTTTTTTTAGTCCTATTATAAGAAGAGCAGGAAACCAGTATGATAGGACGAGGGGGTGGACTTATGTTGTTTTAATAACCCTGGCTTGAGCAGGGGAGGAGGGAGCATATTTTGACTCCACCCTCAGTACACATCCAGGGAATTTACTACTGTAAACTTCGGGATGTCGATAATATTGCATGACTTCAGTGAGGTAAGGCTGGAATGACATACATTTATTAATAGATCAGATACTGGGGGTGTGGAAAATTATGAAGGATGGTTGAACTCGACATGTAAATGAGAGTTTTTTTGAAAGCTCTTTGCTTTTAATTGGTATATTGTCTCCAGTTGCCTTCCTCCCACTGGTTGCTCCCATTGGGGCAGTCTGGGGATGGTGGGGGCCTAGGTGGCTTTGGCCTCTCTGCCTGCGTCTGGCAGGTCGCTGGTTCAAATCCCATGGCCAGCAGAGGAAATCGCGTCACTTTTGGGCTCTTGGGCGAAGCTTCTAACCGTGAAAACTGCTCCAAAATTGCAGATCCTGCATCCTGATCCCCAGACTTCACTGGCATCTGTGTAGGTGTATCTCAGGAGAACAATAAGAGACATATTAAAGGCAAAAAAATTCCTACATACATGTGCAGATAAAAAGTATCTTTTAAAAATGACATACATGTTGGTTTTATCTTTAAACCTAACAGGCCTTTGCACATATACCAAGTGAGACCTTACTTCTACACTGCACCAGCCTTCCAGCTCCTCTGTGGCTTTGAAGCCAGAGAACAGAACCGGGGATCAAGACCGAAGCAAACGACGCCAGAGCGGATTTTCCCAAGAGTCCCGGATCCCCGTCACCCAGCATGTTCCAGAGGCTCAGCGCCCTGTTTTTCGGCGAGGTGGAGGACGTGTCCTCTGACATCAGTGGACCAAAGCCCTGCGTGACGGATGCAGATGAGGAAGGCTGGCTTCTGGTCAACCTAGCAGGTGAGCGATGGTGTCGTATTCTGCATCTGTGGCCTGGACATGGTCGCACACTGCAGGCTTCCTCACCTCCGCGGATTGGCCTCTTGCCTGTTGCTTGACTGACAACTTTACAATATCAGGGCATGTTTGTGACCCAGTCCAAGGGGAGACCGGTCAATTTCTTTTGTCGTGTGTCATTACTTCAAGCCTAAATGAAATGAATAAAAATACAAGAAGCTTGACAAGTTTGTCATGAGCCAGAGTTTGTCCATTCTTGTTCAACCTCTGAATTATAAGGAGAACTCTAAGGGAAGTGGAAAAATATATTAAAGGCTTTGGTTTGAAATATTCTAATTAAAAAATAACTAATACTTCCTATTTCCATGTTTTGTGTTTGGGTTTTTTCTTTATTCCTCTTTCCATTTTCCTTCTCCCTTTTATTTGAATTCCCTCATGCTGTGGTAACGGGGTGTGTGTGTGTTCTCATTATAACCCCCCCCCCCTCGCCCCCAATCCTGTGCAAATGCCCCCTTGCCTGCCCGATTCTCACCTCGGTGCTCAGGGGAAGGTGCCCCAGTGGAGACGAGGCCCAGTTCCTGGGATCCGGCAGCACCGTTACGCTCCTGCGAGGGTGGGGCCAGGGGCAGCCCCTCGTCGATGGTAGCCCCCCTGCCCTCCCCCTCCTGTACTCGTCACAGGACTAAAATTACCGCCACAAAACCACTTGAGCGCTCACCGCCAGCCCTGCCCGACAGCTCGGTGTATGGGCCGCGGCTGGCTGGCTCCACCCCCCGCACCCCGGGCTCCGCGCCTGCCCCCCCAGGCCCTCGGAGTGACTGTAGCTGCTGCATGGATGAGAGCTGGTTTGTCACCCCTCCCGCCTGTTTCACCGCAGAAGGGGCCACCGCTGAAAGCAGCCCTATGGAGGACCTGCTCATCGAGCATCCCAGCATGTCCGTATACGTCGCTCTCGGAAACCAGTCCGTCGTCCAGGAGAGCGTGGCCAGCCTGACGGGCAGCGTGAGGTGAGCCGATTCCCCTCCAGCCGCCATCTTCCGCAGAACAGGGAGGCTTTTCGCGTTTGCACTTCTTAGGGAAGTATTAGGAAGTCAAAGGAAATGTTTAAAATTCTTTATCTGGGTAGTAAATGTATATTTACTAAGAACAAAAAACACAATTTCACATTACAACATACGAGACTTAAAAGTAACGTGATAAAATCCGACAGGAACTTCTTAAGTCCACCAAAAGTCACTGATATCGAGTTGGATGGCTAGATGAACATCGCTTTGGTTCCCAAATCTCCCCTCAGGGGCACCTCAGCCAGTCCATGTGCTGGTTTCCATGTTAAATATCACCACCAGCTCGCTAAATTTACTAGACTAGTTTAAAGCAGTCACTGAAGTATTGATTAGCCATATGAGGTGGGGGGACTCAAAAAAGAAGCCAAAAGAAATATTGGGGTGACTTTAAGAGCTTTGGAAATAAGCAAACACACTTTTACAGATATATTATCATCATACACCAACATGAAGATTATTTAAACGTAATTTTCTTTAACTGTCTAAGACCATGGTAGGCAATGTTACCCGCAAAGGGCCGGTGCGTATGCAGGTTTTTGGGATAACCTTTAGGTCAGCTGTTCAAACCCAGGTGTGAGGACTCTTCAACCAATCAGTCCTCTAATTAGTAATCTAATTAGGGATTTGCAGCAAAACCCTGCATACAAACACAGCGGCCCTTTCTGGATAAGACTGCCCACCCCTGGCCCAAAACTTTTGCTCAGCACTATAAGTCTAGCGCTGCCTGTATTCTCCATTATCATTTCTACCACGCCTTTCCTCTCTTCATTTTTTCCCCACCCACTCTTTCTCTCTCTACCTTTCCACACCTTCTCACCCTCCATCTCTCCACTCCCAGCAGGGTGGCAGAGGTCGTACCGCCGGCATCTCAGGACAGCGCCCCCCGCAGGATCCCCCGCGGAGCTGCGGCCAAGGCCGGGGCAGTGGCCAAGGTCACCCAAGTGGCCCGCGTGCAGCGGGCAAAAGCCCGAGCCGACCGGCGCCACCTCGCCCGCAACCGGGTCCAGCGGCAGAACCGCGTGCGGGAGCAAGCTTCCCGTCGGCCCGCTCACGTGCACGGCAGCTACCTGCGCCAGCCGTGCCAGCGCACCTTCAACCACTGAGGCACCACCCGGGGCGGGGTGGGGGGAACAATGTTTACACTGAGGGCATTATCACGCCTCCCCATCATTCTAACCCCAACATCGCCCTCTTTTAAAAACCTAGTTGTCGTATCATTTTAGCCAACCCTTTATAGCTCTCACCAGAACTTTAAAAAGACAAGTTACTTATTGTGTTATGCGCATCTAACATGACATTAATTAATATTACGGTTGTGTGGTCATGTCCTAGAAAGGCTGTAGGCTCTGGGGGTCCCTGTTCCCTGTACAGCACTGCAGCAGTCCCCCAGTATGGGTGAAACCCCCTTATTTTTGATACTTAATCAGTCTCATGTTCCCGTTCCTCTGCTGTAGTGAGAAGTGACTAGTTCACCCTAAACTCCTGGTCAGACTTGACTTGGTCCCAGTCTAATTTGAAGGTTTTTTTGTCACAGAAACCAGCTGAAATTGGCTAAGTAACTGTTTTGTAAAAGGGAGGCTGATTAGCGACAGGAAAGAGTATAAATTGCTATAAACTGCTTCTGCAGGTCAAGGACAGGCTTTCGACCAAAGATGCGTGGTGAGCATGTGACCAGGTCCGCATGTGTCTGTGACCTGGGGACTGGGCTCATTATCCAGAGGCGATTGGCAGGCGGGACTGCAAAAGTGGTGCAGATTGTTTACTTACATTCAGACATTGAATTTTCTCATTTGTTTTGTATTGTAACAACTAGAAAAGGATTGTAGGGAATATGGCACCTGTCTCCTGTTTGCCGGCTAAGGATACATCCCTGTTCATTCAAGTCGCATGCGGGACATTATAAAAAAACCAAAACATTCAGGATTAACACAGCAGAGGGAAGGTTTTGTGGCAGCGTGGGCAAAAGCATGTAGCAGAAGGTGAGAGGAAGGGGATGAGGGGATTAGGGGAAGGTAAAGAGAAAAAAGAGGTTCAGTGTTTAGTGTGGTTCTTGGTGTCATTTTCATGCGTATTGTCTGTTAGAGAATGAGGAAATGCCCTGCTCAGGGAGAGGTTAATAGGAATCTGTACATCGAGAAGCCTCTGTAGCTGGAAAGGAGAATGTTGTGTGCAGTGACAGAATTACCGGGTAAGTTGTGCTAAAGAAGCTGACGAGTGGAATTAAAGATAGCTGCGTGTGTTTATCGTATATTTCAACGCTGCTTGTCGTTGTCGCGGAGTATCCCTTTTGGGGATACCTGCAAATCCTAGGGCCATTTCCGAAAGCCTGTCCTTGGACAGTAAGAGCAGAGGTTAAGACCTATTTCCTAGCAGTACTGCAGCCAGGCAGGTGCGTTTTATGGGATGACCAGGCCCACTGCGTCACTGTGAAATGTAAATGCGTTTAAAAATGCATGCGGTGCGTCATGCAGCGTGCGTTTGTGCTCTTTTCATAGGATCATGCCACGCAACATTCTTGATGAATCCTAGATTAGACCTCTTAATTCCAGCCATGTCGATCAGTATTTAAGGTATGTGCAAGAACAGGAATCTTAATGCATTTTTTTAAACCCAACCCAAAATGGAATGACTGACCCTGCCCCCCCCTGTTTAGTACAACCATGCAAATGTATAGTATCACTATAATATATATTACATTTACACTGGTAATGAGAAGTGTAGAAGCATTATGGTGCTGAAGTAAATTTAATATATGCTAAAGTATGTGAATTAATGAGATATGGATGTAAGTTTGCACTGTCTTATATTTCTGTGATTGAGATATTTTTTAGAAGTGTGACGTGTTCTATTACTTTACAGAATACAAAAGGGATAGACTGACCTGTAGGAGCTTCTGATGAAATTAAATAGCTAGGCTTACAATTATTACGTATTTAAATGTATTTTTAAATGTTTCACCTGCTACTTTGAAGGTCAAACTCTCAGGAGATCTTTTACACAATCCAAGCTGGAGTCAGTACTCAGCATCCATGCAAATTAGGCTTGTAAGACTCACATTCAGCCTTACTGTGAGCGCGTCCGTGCAGTTAAAGTAGAAGTTTTTCTATTTGCTGCAAAAGCACGCCAGATATGCGCCGAGGCTGCCCCCTAGTGGCAAGTAAGGGGACTGGCGATGGCAAACCTACATCCCCGCCTTGAAGGTGGGATTTAAAACACAAGATGTGGGTGATTGACAGCTTGAATAAATGGCGTAGTGCAGCAGCCTTAGGAAATTCGTAAGCTAGAGAGTGGCTGATTTTCCTTAGAATACAATAACTGACCTTTCTCTAGTAACACACTAATATCTCCCCGTTATTACTGATAACCAGTCTACATACAGCATTTAAGATTGCATAGGAACGTTTTTCTTCCTCTTTTTGATGGCTTTATTTTCCTCTGTAAGAGACACAGTGGTGAGGCCCTCGCTGGCTAGCACTTGTAGCATTTCGGAGTCCCTGCATGTGTGAGCAACCATAATCTCCCTGATCTGGGCTCCTTTCCCACTCATTACCAAATCAGTGCCTCATCAGCAGAGTGTGTGACTCGCCCATTAGAGATTTCCATTAGAGCTTATAGGAGCCAATGGGCATGGAGCTGGGACTGGGCGGGGACTCCCACACCTGCACTATGATTGGTCAACCTGGGCTCACCACAGTGCTCAACTGCTTCCGCCTTTGGCACCCCCTCTATACATTTGTTTTATTATGGGATGCGGTGACTGGTGGTGGAGACACGCCTGTAAGCATGTGTAACCTGCGTGGCATGAGAAATTGGGGGAAAGGGTAGATTTAAAACTGAATGAAACTGAACAAAAAAAGCTTGTATTTTTCCTAAATCATTTAGACAGTAGCGCTAAGTAATTTATAAATGGGGGAGGGGGGGGATTTATATTGTGTTTCAATTGCTTAAAAACATGGCAGCTTGAAAATGTAAACTGAACACATAATATAGGGTGTGATGTCTATGTTGGGTAATCCCCTCCACAAGAACACGCGTCTCCCCCCCCCCCCCGAAAAAAAGTGTAGAAAAACTGGTGTATCTGATATCTATGGTGATTGTGCCTTTCATTCGTCTGCATGGGTTTAGTGACTTTTTTTTTTTTTTACTGTCCCAGTTCCTGCATCCCAATTGGACAGCAGTCTCGAACAGTATAGACCTATGCAAACAACAGACACGGTTCCTGCAGTCAGTCTGGAACGCAGGTGCCAGGCAAAAATCTCAATAAACGCTCAGGTTGACACCTGAATTGTGACTCTTCATTCTCAGCACCTCTGTCTGGGGACTGACAATCATCAGACTGTCACCCAGGGAAACGCCCTGACAGGCACATTATCACTGTGCATGGGAAAGAGTCCATCCATCCATCACCGTAACCGCTTAATCCCAACTGGGAATAACGAGCGCAGGCAGGAACCAACCCTAGGCAGATGCCAACACACCGCAGATAGGAAAGAGTTAAATCTTTGTGATTTCATTGTGGACAACATGCAGCTTGACAGTTAACTATTCAAAGAATCAAAAGGTATGCATTAATATTATTATAAGTAATATAATAATAGATACCAGCATTTTAATGTCTTGTTTGTCACATGCACAGGCTGTACATATGTAGTGTAATGCCTTTTCCACCTGTTGCCTGAATTGTGCTCACAAAGGAAATACCAAATACACAAAAAGTATATATAGATTAGATTATGTATAGTGCATATATAATCCATCCATCCACCCATTTCCTGAAACCACTTGTTCCATTCAGGGTTGTAGGGGGTCTAGAGCCTATGGGCAGAAGGCAGGGAACAACACAAGATGGGGTGCCAACCCATCACAGGGCACGCACACACACACACGCGCACACACACACACACAGCATTTATACTGATGGGGGGGGAGTCAACCAGAGGACACCTCATGACGACAGGAATATGGAGCCATGGCGGAGACTCAAACCCAACTCAAATATATATATATATATATATATATATATATATATATATATAGTATTATATAGAATTTATAGTATGTATAGCAGATATATGTAGAAGTTATTGCTTGTTTAACTTATATACCTGTGTGGCGCATCATATAATAAGATACCATCCAAAGTGAATGTAAATTTTCATGTTAATATTATGCAGCCTTAACACAAGGCTATAAGAGAGGTACTTATCGTGACCGGTTTGAGACGAGAGAGGTCGCTTTAGAGCCTTGATCGCGGTGCCGTAGATACTTGATATACCTGTATCAGGAAGGTGCCTTCCCGGTAGCTGAACTGCAGTTACCTCTTACAGGTGTAACATTAGCCTTGACTTAAACATAGCACTAAAGGTATCAGCTCTGACGACTAGAAGAATTCGACGTCCAGATGAAAACAGCGATATGACATTCCAAGTCTAGCTGACGAAAACCACAGAGCTATCATTCGATTCGCTTGAACCATAACCAATGACACGTCACCCTCTTAATACACAGTTTACTCTGCTGCCATCAGGTCGAAGATACAGGACCCTGAAATGGAAACGGGCTCGCTTTGGCAAGTTTCGTCCCTACTGCCATATCTGCACTTAACTTGCCACATTAACCTTGTACCCATCAAATCTCTGCTACTAATTGTGTGTATATGTTTATGTGTGCCGTTTTATGTATTTCTGCACAACATGTTTAACATGTTAGAGGCCGGTAATGTACTTGAGTTTGTATTGGAACTGTGAAGACAAAAATCCTTATAAGACAACAAAGGCTATCTATCTATACATATTTGTATATATTTAATTAAAATTTATTTTATAGGCTACGTGACATCTATAGCGATTTTATACCCAATTATTCATGCCCAGTCATATCGATAGGGCGGTGATCATATGGACATAAGTAGGCCTTTAGAAGCGAACGCCTCCCATTGTTATTATGAATAGCAGGAGAAGCTGCTAAACTCGCTCCGCAGCTTTGGCCGCCTCGTTGTGTCACCTCCGGCATCGGCTCCTCCTGGCACCTTCAACGCAAACCAATCGGTTTCACCGCAATTGCCACGACTTCTACAGTTTCCTAATGCGGCAAATCCATCTCCAGAAGCCAGTCGAGTTCAACGTAAAGACGGTGTGTGTGACTCCGGCAGTAAACGACAGAGCGCATTTCACGCGGTGTCAAAGAAAATCTCAAGTGTTCAAATGCGCGAAGTGTCTGGGTGCGTGATTTGCGATTAATCGCTATCGCTTCCTATTTAAAACCTGCACCTTTAACGCACTGACAGTCCCAGTGTGATGTCAGCTGATCTTTAATGATAACCATTTTTCCCCGTCTGGTAATGGCTGCAAGGGAGTCTCGGATTGCATTTGCACTCGCAGCACAAACACTCAGACACACAGGCACACACACACGGACGATGGTGTAGAGATCGCGTCGGCATCCAGACGGTAAGTGGGTCGGGATGCTGCTGCCATGTTGACGGCGTGTTATAAGGCCGGGCGAGGCGTCGGTGGCAGGTAGGTGTGGGGGCTTTGTCAGCGACGTGCGAAAACAGCGCTCGGGGGGAGAAAACGTGATATTTGTCCACCGTTTTAATTTTGCTCGGATTCCCGCGTTGGGGGTTTGATATCTCTGGGGAGGTAAACATGTAGTCGATCGGCAATTACCGGCGTTTTCCATCATGGATTTTTTTTTTTTTAAAGCCGTGGTGAGTAATATGCTCTGCATTGTAATAAACGTGCAGGTCCGCCCATTATTTAACGTGTAAAATATGCGCGCTGTGCCGCAAACACATGTACATATATACATTTTTTTTTCTTTTCATTTTTAGATCGGAAATGGCATCTCATGTCGCACCCACAAATAGATCCTGTGTATTGCATCTCTTTTAAAAAAATCTGCTCTGATCGGGTCTGTAGAGGCCAGGTGGCGGAGGGGAGGAGGTGTGACGGTGTGCGGTCAGCCGCTTTGCCGGGGTGAAACAAGCACCAGACGGCTATGTACTCTCCGGGCGCCGACGCCATGGCCGGGTACAGCAGCAGCGGCGGCGGCGCGCCGGACACGGATGCGGGCCAAGAGACCACACTGGGCAGCGCTTACTCGCCGGTCGATTACATGAGCATCACCAGCTTCCCCAGGCTGCCCGAGGAAGACACCGTGCCCGGGGAGAACACGCTGAAGTCCCGCAAAGATGAGGACAACTTTCTGAGCGAGCAGGAAACTGGTAACCTCCATATGTGCAGGAGATACCTGAAGACTACCTGTCTGTGCTATGATGGCTTTCATAGTTTTGTATATTATCGGGGGCCATTCAATACAAGACCAAATTATTTCTGCTTTTTAAATGATCCCATGCATGCTTGTATACGTTTGCTGTATGAATAAGTTCTGAACCGGTGCATACGCTCTCTGAGATTCTGGTACCGGTTTCTAGCAGATCCCGACCTCTTCCTGAAGTCGGCAAGGCTCCAGCGGCTTCCGTCCTCGGCGTCGGACCTGGCCAGCCACGACGGCACGCCGCTGCGGGAGACGCGCCGCGACCCCCTGGCCGAGGACTGTAGTTGCCGACAGGACGGTCTCACTGTCATCATCACTGCCTGTCTCACCTTTGCGACCGGGGTCACCATCGCCCTTATCGTGCAGATCTACTTTGGAGATCCTCAGGTGTGTGACCATCTCATTATATACGTGTATTATTTAATTCTTTGAATTTAAAAAAATGTCTCTATTTTATAACTATAATTGAAAGGTATTTATTTGTAATATAATTTATTATTAAGCATGATGTTAACATTTTGTAGCCTTGTTTAGCGACTATTTTTCTCTACTATTTTTATCTCTCGCAATTTATGTGAAGTTTTTGTAAAGTTTTTACTTTTTGTTTTTTTCCCTGCTTGATCATGTGTCTTTTAGTCCTGGGTTCTTCTTGCCAAACGCATATTTTATACATTATATATTAGTAAATGGTGAGGCGGGGGGGGGGTTAGGGTTTAAGGTGACCCTTTTGAGTCGACCTGCCCGCAGTGATCGTGAGGGACGTGATATCACTGCCAAACGAGATATACAGGCCTTCCGCCTTCTTGTGTAGCCAGAGGCAAAACCAGCTATACAGTTTAATTCGCTTAGTAGGATTCTAGTTGCAGAAGTGCATGACAAACTTGAGCCTTTGCAAAGAGTGGAAAGAAAGAGGGGGGGGGAGGGGCGTGGGGGGGGGGTTGTGAGTGTAGATGGAGTAGTTGTCTGTATTGAGCGACCGGCATCCCTAGTATGTAACTGTGAAAGACCGAATCGGATTCCCAGATAGTGAACAGCTGTCTCTGAGTCGGAGCGCTCACTGGTAGACGGCATTGTTGTTTTACATTCCACCGTCAGCGGGCACACTGTAAGATCATAGACCCGTCTGGTGCCCTGGCACATTCATGACAATCTGCTAACTGTATTATCACCTCTCTCTGAGCAAGTCTGTAAAGTGCAGGACAAGGTAAGACAAGACTTTGGACTTGTTCTAATAAGTAGGACGTATACTGTGGGGGTGTCACTCTGGAACTTCTTGTGTTGGCTTTGTGGTGAAAACATTGATGGCCTCTCCCCCCACGTCAACGATTCACCTTCGGTGTGGATGTGATTATTGTCTGGAACACTGTTTACACCTTACACCACAGGACTGACCCGAGCCCGCCCCCCGAGGGAAAAATAGACTGTTCAGACTTGCTCAGCAATCCTTACTGCTGGCACCCCCCCCCCTCCAGGTTATTCTGGGGCTGCCCCCAACAACTCGAAGCTGAAGCCACACCTTTAACACCGCAAACATCACGTACAATTCTGGCTTAGTGACGGAGGAGAAGAAGAGAACAGTCTGGTTCTGAGTTTGTTGGATGTAAGATGAACCATCTGCAGTTGAGTGTTGGAAAGAAGGGAGCTTATGTTGGAGTTTACTCGTGTGCGTTTTTACGTGCACAAAAGTGATCTGAGGGCAGAATGAAAAATGAGAGAAATGATCAGACAGACTGTAGAAGAGGTGGGCCCCAGCAACTAGAGGAGGTCGGGACCAAGGAATCTGAGGTCAGGGGACCACTGAATATGATGCAGACTTTATTATTTCCATTGGCAAGCTTTTATCCATTTTTTGTGGTCGCTGTGTTTGTCTCGAGTCAGATCTTCAATCAGGGTGCCGTGGTAACGGACGTGGCACACTGTACCTCTCTGGGGTTCGAGGTGCTGAATAAGCAGGGCTCCTCTGTGGATGCAGCCGTCGTCTCCGCCCTCTGTCTGGGTATCATCCAC